AAAACCCTTAAATTTAAATTGTCTGAGGATAAATGTTAAGCCTCTTGTTGCAAAGGTCCATGCCAACTCACCAATAGGAAGTAATGACCATGTACTTACGGTCTCGCCTGGTAGCACATCAAGTATACACTCAAGCATTTTTCAATTTTGATGCTCAGTGAGATTGTCCAACACCTTGAGATATCTAGTTGTGGACACCTACAGAGAAGCCAGTGCTGGCAATGAGCGCGATAATCATATACTTCAGGCGTTATCCGGTTCTATTCGTCGTGGGCACACTCACACCCCGAATTTGGGAAACTTCAATCTTTCTGAAGCGAACTTCACTGCACACGCGTTCATTGAAGGTGACAACTCTACTTAAGGTCATTTTTTCAAACTTCATCGAAGATTTTTGATTATTCGAAGAAGTGGAGTTGGCAACTCTGTGGAGAAACAGTCGGATTCTGTCATGCTTAGACTAAGTCTCCATCAACGAAAAATCTCTGATTGGCAACCTCTTAATACTGGCTCTCGTGCGAAAGAGCAATTACACTTCCATAGCCTTCAATCTCGCAAACAAAACTGTACTGAAACATCTCACCAACGACAGGCGCTTGAATTTCAAACGTCTGGACGTGTCAGCCTAACAGGAAAATCTACGGCAGTTGGAACGGGAAGTTCTCTCTCAACTTAAGGCGAACACTCATTGGGATTTTTACTGAGAACGGTTTTACAAAACTAGAAACAGCCCGTCTCATTAGTGTTCTCCAAAAGTCACAAGCGACGTGCAGTCATGAAGAATCACAATCTTCAAATGCGAAGACCCAAAATCTACTACTGGGTAAAATACAAACAAACTAATAACAACAGCGCGTACAAGCAGTTTAAACAGGCAAGAAACTGACGCTTAGAGGCGACAGGAAAAGACAGGCCTCAGTGTCAAGTCAAGCTGGACGCTAAATGTGTCTCTGATCCAAAAAGCTTACTCTGGCGTGCACCCGAATTTAAAATATTCCAGTCGTTAGGTCCTAGTGGCCTGATCAACAAAAATGTTGATACATTTGAGCTCCTCACAGAGCAATATTTTTAAACATTCCAACCTCTACAAACTACATCGACGAGAGCGTCACCTCCAACGCAACAGGAGCCTTAGGAATGATCTTGATCTCTGACTTAATGTGCCAATACTGATACGTCTAAACAGCGACACCTCAACTGGCCCTGGAATGGTTCACTGTTCTATATTAGGAGGTATGGCTTCAATTTTAACACAGCTTTGTGGGCTGTCGTTGCATTCGCCAAATCACGCCACGATGCTAGACAATTAGAGGCTGACTCACAATACGCCGATTTTCAAGGGAGGTTGACGCAGAGAACCTGCAAGTTACCGACCGTTATCACTTCTCCTAGTACCCTAAAACTTACATTGCACTTAATATGCGATCATCTACATGACTACTTAATATCCGCGAGCTTTTTTTAACCCCATCAGCATGGTCCTAAGAAGTGTCATTCTTGCGTAGTCAGCCTGATGACTGCAGTGGGCAGATGGACAGGCAATCTTTGTCGCAAGAGAAAGGTTGGTGTTATATGCATTGACTTATCAGAAGCTTTTGATGAAGTCGCCCATATATAACTCATCAATAAGCTGAAACGGCTAGGTATCTGGCCACCATTAACAGACTGGTTTACTTTAGATCTAAATAACCGACATTTAGGGTCACGACGAACTTCATGTTCTCTCAGTCTACAGAGTGTTTTAGTGAAGTCCCTCGAGGCTCAGTACTGGGACCTCCGCTTCTCTTAATTTATACAAATGACCTCCATCAACAAGCATCGTCCGATTTCTTGCTTTCCACTGACTATATAAACATTTGGTGAGACTTTTGCTACCAAAATGATAAACTGACACTCCATGAGGATCTGTCTCGTCCTCAAATTTGTGCGAAAATCTGAGGACTCACTTTCGATACTTCAAAATATAAAGTAGTCCATGTTGTAAACCATATACACAACGTTGGTAACTCCCCTCTAGAGGCATACCAGGTTGACAAAGATCTAGGAATTTTGGTACACTATGATTAAATATCTTAAGCTAACTTCTACAAAAATGCCCTCCGAACAAACTGTGCATTGGGAACGTTGAGGCGCACTTTTGGCCAGTTCTACAGTAGTACTTTCCAGTAAATGTTTGACAGTTTTCTCTCCACCCCACTTACAGTATGAAATAAAAGTGTTTCTTCCTTCACTCCAAAAAGACAAAAATACTGTGGAATGTATCCAAAGTTGAGCCACGTTCGAGGACTCAAATTTAAACCCTATGAAAAACGTCATAAATCACTGAATCCTTACCTAAAAGAGTATAGGCGTCTCAGAAGTGACTTATTTACCACTCCTAAACATCCCCCTATACACCTACTTAACATCAGTTCCAGCACAAACTTCAAGGCTAACACCCAGAAATTTGAGACACAGTATAGAAGGATTTTAGGCACACAGTTTACTCTGTGTGTAGTAGTATTCCGTGACTCGCTGCCTGCTAAAGTAGTCCAAGAGACGTCTTAGGAGTCCTATAAGTGGAAACGTGATAGATTATCAAGAACTCAGGACATTATGCTAGCACAATTTATCAATATTTTTCTTTTCATAGACAACCGAACTGGTGCCTAGTAATGTAATAGATTATAGTATCCGTAATTCCTACCACCCTGAGACAAAGTTCTCACTCCAACTACATGATATATTAATCTACAGTATCTACCAAACTGACCATAATTGGTTCAGTTGAATGGCCATTTGAATGTTAAAAGATACACAGAACTGTGTCGAAACAGAAATCAATCGGTTTATACTAGCTCGTGACAAAGATATTAGCATCAAAATCACACAAGGCTACTTTGTGTAACATTTACTAACACTACCGACTAATAGGTTATCCCACTAGTTAGTTACTACTGAACTCAGGTGGTAATGTAAGAATACTGCCTGACATACCGTATTCTGAGAGCAATCACATCAGGAACACACCTAAGGAATCTCGCCTAAAGTTTTTCCGTAGAAAAAATATCATTCTTCATGGTGTACCGAAAAAACGAACCCTGACCACACAAACTCTGATATTGGGGAATAGAAATTCATTGAACAATCGTTGAAGCTCAAAAACGTATTGACTCAACAATTGATGAGACTCCCCAAAAAGGACAGAGATTCTAGACTCCGGATGATGAAGATATTTCGCGCCTGTATGTAACCCTCGTGCTATTGATAGAAGAAACTAGACTAGTGGTGAATAGGCCTTTATTTAGATCTTCGCTCAGTCACAGTGGAGCGTGGGATTATTTGTTCAGACAAACAAAGCCTCTCAACATTCAATATAAGATATAGGAAATATAACGCCTATACAAAATAAGGAAGTGAATGAATACTTGAACTCTCGGACATTTCAACTGACCGACATTAACTATATTGATGAACGCTTCATTTGCAACTGCACAGGACTTTCGGAAATGAGCCTGAGCTCTGACTTGGTGTACTGGAAACCGCAGCACGCAAGAAAAGACAATTCTGGCCTGGATATGGTTCATTCTGCTATACTGAGGGAACTAGCTTCAATCCTGGCAACACCACTTAGCGTGATGTTCTCACACTCGCTAAGCCGAGGCACATTACCAGAAATTTAGAAGCTGGTTCACGTCACACCAATTTTCAAAGGGGGTGGACGTAGCGAACATTCAAGCTACTGACCAGTGACCCTTCTCCCTACACCTTCGAAAATCATGGTTTCCCTGATATGCGACGGTATACACGACTATTTATTATCCTTAAACTTCTTTCCACTCCATCAGCACGGTTTCAGGGAGGGTAATTCTTGTATAATCAACCAGCTGACTGAGGTGGACAGATAGACAACCATCTTTGATCGCAATGGGAAGGTTGACGTCATTTACCTTGACTTCTTAAAAGCTTTTGATAGGGTCAACCGCATATGTCTTATCAATAAGCTCGAACGACTAGTTGTCTAATTGCCCTTAATTGATTGGCTCACTTCATATCTAAAAAATTCGATATTTTAAGGTCAGGGTTATCTTCACTCTCTCGGGCTATGAAAAGTCCTGGTGGGGGCCCCCAATGTTCAGTACTGAAACCTCTTCTATTCTTGATTTATATAAACGATCTTCATCAACAGGTGTTGCCAGATTTGCTACTTCTTATTGATGATGTGAAACTTTGGAGATAGACATGTAACCGTGAGGATGTACTGGTACTTCAGGAGGATCTGGCTCGACTTCAAATTTTGACACTTCAAAGTATAAAGTAGTCCATCTGGAACATGTTGCAGATTACATTTGCAACTTAGAAAACTCCTCTCCAGAAGTATCCCATGTTGAAAAAGATTTAGCAGTGTTTGTACCCTACGATTTGAAGTCTTACGCTAAATGTGACAAAAATGCCTTTCGAGCGAACCTTGCACTGGTAACATTGAAGCGCATTTTTGGCCAGTTTGACGGAAGAAATTTCCACATATTCTTCAACAGTTTCATTCATCCCCATTTAGAGTACGGAAACGTCATGTTTCCTCCCTCATTCTAAAAGGATAAGGACGCTCTGGGACGTATCCAACGGCGAGCCACGAAGTCAGTTCGGGGACTCAAATTCAAGCCTTATGAAGTGCGCCTCCAATCACTGAACCTTTGCCTATTAGAGTACAGACGTCCCAGAGGTGACCATCTAATGGCTTCCAGCATCCTTAACGCTTATGGACATCTCCTTAAACATCTACTTAAGTTTAGCTCAAACACAAACCTAAGGGTTAACACCCAGAAACTGCAGAAACAACACAGTAGAACGGACTATGGACACAGTTTCTACTCCTTAAGAGTTGTCAAATGGTGGAATTCGCTGTCGGCTGAGCTGGTTCAAGCTAATTCCCAGGAGTCCTTCAAGAGGAAACTTGACTTGTTGTTAAGGACTAAGGATAATATTTTACTGATTTACCAGTTTATTTTTCCTCTTTCACCGTTAATATACCTGGGTTCCTGCCTGGAGGTATTGGTGATCCACGGCTACCAGGCACGGAAGCCCGTTAAGCGAAAGCTTCTTCTATTCTGTCCACAACCATTTGAACCATTTGATATTGTTAACTGACTGACGCGGAATACACTAGTCATTGACCTTGACATCTGTATTACTGTATTTTGTTTCTTACGTTTCGAGTTTTAGGCTGCATATTTCCCATATATTCAGCTTGACACCTTCGTGTTTCCAGCACTCAAAGAAGAAACTATTGCAGATTGAAGTTCATTATGTGGAAGTCCCTGACTTTCTCGCTATCATCAGCCTTCAGTCTCGTAAGTCAGTTATACTAACTGTGATAAGAATTCATGTTAACACACTGGATATGTAATAGAAGTCTATCACTAACTATTTGCATTTTCTGACGCAATTTTAGTTAATATTCCGATTTCGGCCTATGTGCGGAACTCTCGGAAGTTCCGCACCACTGTCTTCATACTCTGATTTAAACTTTTAGTAGTAAGAAGAAAATATAGCCTAAAATAATTTTTGATTTTTGTGGCGGATTTTCTCACACATCCCCAAGCTAAAAGATCCATGCTTGTCAGTGATGAAAGGTTAACTGAATGAATGCACATGAGTCTACACCAGCTAAACAAATCTACCTGGTCTGTTTATTGATCAGAATGTCTATTAAAGGTGGTTGGTATAGAATATAGTTCTGTTAAAAAGTCTCGTTGCTCTTCTAGTCACATTTTTTAACCTACATCTTCCGTAGGTCTTTTTCAACAACGCTAGTCCAAACACATTACATGAATTCCTTGCACTGTTTTATCCTTTCAGACCCAATGGGTCACGAGTGGCCCTTTGTAAGTATTTACTTAAGTAGAAAACCATGAAACTGGTTTTAAAAAATTGATTTAATCAATGTGATACTATGATTTTTGTACTCGTACATTTTGGTTTTTAAGGTGATGTGGTTATACTATATCTAAATTCAATTTTTGTAGAAAGCCCTATGCATATGTGCCCCCAAATGCCCTGGTACGGCCGAGAGTGGGGAGAGTTCGCTCTCCCTCTCGAAATGCTCTCACATGGCCACGCTTATGTAGCCTTTGTCAGGGAAGTCCTACTCACTGTCTTCTCGTGGCGGGGTTGTTGTTTACGAAATTGAGAGGACAAAACGCAAACGTTCGGCGCTTTAACCGAGTTGGTAGACATAGAGGGTCCACCTAGGGGGTTGGAAAACCACAATTCCAAACCAATGGTGCACATGGGCTCCAGCAACCTGAAGGAACAGATGGCGTAGGAACCAATCGTTGGTCACCGGCTACCATGGGAATGCATATCCTTACGTTACTCCACTGCCTTGTAGATTAGACCTTCAGGTCGAAGGTTCGGGGTGTGGCCCCCTAAGAAACCACCTGCTTCGGTTTGGGCACCTGGGCAGTATCACAGCCCTTACACATATCAAATGAGATCTGTGTGGTGCATATGTATTTGCTGCCTCCTTGTACCAATATCTATGTGTTAAAATAAAAAAACTATGCGTGTGCGCACCTTCGAAGAAATTCCTAAACGTGCATAATTTTTGTTCCAATGCATTACAATTGTTTAATAGTGGTGCTTTGGATCTCGATAGTCATGTAAAGACGTCCCATATATATTCTAGGTTCTATGTAGTGTTTTTTCATCTTTGTAATGCAGGTTCGTTGCGCTTCAACTGCAGCGGAATCAGCTCCACTTATGAAGACCTTTTCCATTTACAGATGGGTAAGTTTTGTTGTTTCGTTAGTTTATTATGTTTTAAATTAGGGGTTAAAATAAAACTCCATGGTCACAACTGTTCTTGCTTTTATTGAGATACTTAGTATCCGAGCTCTGATAACTTCGTTTACTTCCAATATTTATTTCGTTTCATGGCATAATTTAACACTAAAGTTTTGACAAGGGTTTTTATGTTTTATCATTTACCTGAAAGTATCCTGGATACTACTTCCTTACTTACGCCTGTTACCACACCTGGAGGAGCATAGGCTGCCCACTAGCATCCTCTATGGAACTCTGTTATGGACAATTATTTCCAGTTGCTATTCATCCTTTTCATGCCTACTTTCAATTCCCGACGTAGTGTTCTTCGGTCTTCCTCTTTTCCGTTTCCCTTCAGGATTCCAAGTTAAAGCTTGCCTCGTGATTCAGCTTGGTGATTTCCGTAGTGAATGTCCTATCCACTTCCAACATCTTTCCCTAATTACCTCTTCATCTGGTAGCTGATTTATTCTCTCCCACATTAGGCTGTTGCTGATGGTTTCCGGTCAACGGACATTGAGTATCTTTCGTAGACAATTTTTTATAACTACTTGTACCATTTTGATGATGCTTGTAGTGGTTCTCTAAGTTTCAGCTCCGTACAGTAGGACTGTCTTGACATTCGCATTGAAGATTCTTACTTTGATATAGATTAACAGTTGTTTTGAGTGCCGTATGTCATCCTTGTTTATCGATGATGCTTTCCAGGCACATGGAAGATTTCACACCTTCCAGAACTTCTCCATCAAGTGAGATTGGGTTGGTGTTCTCCGTGTTGTATTCGGGTATCTGACTTTTTCCTTTGTGTATGCTGAGGCCTACTGATGCAGACTGCTGCTACACTGTTTGTCTTGACCCGCATTCGTTGGTGTTTATAGGATAGGAGGGTCAGGTCATCTACGACTGGATACAGCAGAATGGGATACTATTGGTCTCCACATACCTTGCATTTAAAACTTCTAATACTAGCAAACAAAAGGGCAAACAGTTGGAGAAAAGGTGTATGTGAAAGCAAACTGAGTTGGAGAAAAGTTATACTATTAAATCAGCCGTTTAGAGAATGATAAGCGTCTCACATCTGTAGCGTGATATAGCCGTGATTCATAGTTGAGTTCCCGTGACTATTAAAGTTCGTGAAGCTGACAATGTCAGCATCGATGTGGAATGTTTGGAAAGCTGTTTGAGTGGGAGCGAGTATTTAACACAACTTGTCTTTGTGAATTGAAGAATCACGATCTGTATTGAGAGTTTGACCTTATGATTTTTTTGCAACAAAATTTTCATGGATACTTTCTTAAGTACTTATCACCATTTCTTTTTTTCACACAGAACCCAGATAAACGTGGCGAAAAACCCACTATGCAAAATTACCAAGTCGATCTTAATGATTGTGGACCCATGGTCTTGGATGCTTTAATCAAGATAAAGAATGAACAGGATCCTACTCTGACATTTCGACGTTCTTGCCGTGAGGGCATATGTGGTTCTTGTGCAATGAATATAGAGGGTCGTAATCACCTTGCCTGTATATGGTATGCTACTCCTTTGAATTGTTTACCTTCACACTTTTAGTATTGAAGCCCATGTAATTAATGTATCATTATCAGTACTTTTTGTGCATTTGTTTTGCTTTTTTAGGGAAATAGATCCAGATGTTAGCAAGACAACTAAAATATATCCATTGCCTCATATGTACGTAATTAAGGATCTAATTCCAGATATGAATAATTTTTATGCTCAGTACCGTTTTATTGAGCCTTATTTAAAGAAAAAGAATGTGTCTGAAGAAGATATTGGGAAAAAGACTTATTATCAGTCAGTGGAAGATAGAGCAAAGTTAGATGGACTTTATGAATGCATTTTGTGTGCCTGTTGTTCTACTTCGTGTCCATCTTATTGGTGGAATGGTGATAAGTATTTGGGTCCCGCTGTTCTACTTCAGGCTTACAGGCAAGTGTTAAACGAATACCTAAGATTTCACAAATTTATTCATTAAATGGTGTTTTATGAACGGAGTTACTTACATTTATAGATAAGATTTCACTTTAAAAGAAAGAATATTTTATTTCGTTTTGTGTGGTCGATGTTACAACTTGTTTGTGATGAGTTCTGGCTACTATTAAATAACTTTTAAATGGAAATTGGTTGAAGTCCTACCTATAAGTTTGAATTACTAAGAGAAGTCAGCTTAAATTGTCTGGCTGGAAATGTAAATAACAGAAGTAAATTCTTGCATCAATTGTCCTTCAGATTCCCAGTGCGAAAACAGTTCAATTAAAAGTAACTTATTTTAATATTACTACTGCTTGTTGTTTCTTTTTGTGTATATTCTCGTAGATTAACGAGCAAAGCTGTTCGCTCGCACTTACTAGAATATGAATTAAGCGCTGTTGAAAATATTCATTCTACGTAACATAATCCGTAATCCTCACATCGTAATTAACAACGACATTGACTAAATATGTATAATTTTGGTTAGTTTGTCGAATTATCGTTTCTTCTGGGTAAGATTGTTAATGTTTTGCAAAATAAACTCATTACTTAGTTATGTACCAAAAATTATCCATTTAAAATTGCAGTGCATTTTCGATATATCTCTTGCAGATGGTTAGTCGATTCACGTGATGATTATACGTATGAACGTTTGGCTGAGTTCCAGAACAAGTGGTCACTTTATCGATGTCATACTATTATGAATTGCACAGAAACTTGCCCAAAAGTAAGTGAATTGATTTAAACGTGTCAAACATTTACATTCAGTTCTACTATAAAAATTATTTGAACTTTTTCTTGAAACGGTTACATTTCTCTGAAAACTGATTTCGACTGTTAGCATACCACTCCTCGTATTCACAGTTTTGTCTTGTTGACATTGCAATCTCATATTGTGTGCATGTTTTATAATACTTGAACCAATGTTCAACAACAGATCAACTCAGTCGTGAGTAATCTATTAGGGTTTCTCTAATGATGATGATTTGGTTTTTGTAATAAATAGTAAAAGATCCTTCCCCAAGAACGGCGATATTAGCAAAATCTGACTTTTCCTTCACTTAATATTAGACAGCTGATCAAACTTTCGGAAATAACTTTGTAGTATTTCGATCTTTTTACTCAGGTGCCTTTTATTAAAGTTTTTATTGTCATTTTGGAGCAAATTATTTTATTTGAATACATAAGTATTGGTACAAAGGGACACCAGATATATATGCGCCGATTGGAGCAAATTAACTTAGACAATGATGTATCGTTAGCTCGCAAGTGTTCGTTTATATATCACTCAGAAAATTTTGAAAGTATCTTTAAGGTTAGCTATACTTAAAGCGGTAAGCGATCGCTGGAGATGCAGTGTCATGAACAGTACAGTATGACCCGTTGACGTCGATAACGTGTGACAGTAACAAGACTGAATATGTCGCTACGGGATAGTGACAGTAGCATATGAAGGACAAGTTCTGTATGCTTGACATGATCAACTAGCTTGTGAGGACATTATGCGAGTTGAAAAACAAAATTTCGGCAATCAATCCTTGATACGTACAATGAAGACTATAATATTTAAAATAACAAGGATCATGACTGTCTGTGACCAATAAGTTGTATATGTTTCTTAGACATCCATATATACGTGTTATCAGTTTGTACATACATATATATGTTGTGTGGTAGCTTGCCTCCTAGTCACTATTACTTATCTTACAGTAGATGTTAATCTCAGAAATGTGACTAATCACATAACTTCCTTCTGATATTAATGCTGCTAGGTAGTTTGTAAATATATGTTAATTTATATTTGTATACATTTCATGTGAACCTTTTTAGGGATTGAATCCTGGTTTGGCTATTGGAGAGATTAAGAAAATGCTAATCTATTTCAATCAGTATAAACACAAGAAACCGGAGACGAGAACTGTCTAGACCATATGATCTCATTAATCACGTATTTTCTCGAATTCGGTTAACTTACCGACTATTTATAGTGAATCCCCATTAATTTTCTCCAATTTCTAATTTAACTTATAAATAAAACTTTTTTTGTTGTCGAAATTTTAAAGTGAAGTAACTATTTCATCTTCAGAAATTGTAGTAACTTCATACAATATCGAAAGTCGGTGGGAAGATAACTTATAACTTTAAGTTAGAAGATATCACGGTTACCGTTTGTTGAAGGTTTGTTCACTTGACTGTTTTTCCAGTATTATTAACGTTGGACATAAAAGGTAATGTCTAACCTCAGAATTTCCGAAATCATCTTAACCGTTGGTACAAATATACTGTATCGCTATCAATTATAATTACATTGGTTTGACATAAACTTTCGCCCTTTCTGGAACACGTATCCCTGTTTTCGTTAATGCATAAGTCTCAACTGAGAGACTTAAAGAGCAGCACGAACCTTAAGGATATTGAAAAGAATGAGCTAGCTGGGTACAGGCATGGATTCTGAGACAATCTGACATCATTTAACGAATGATTTTGGAAGCCAATTTAACTAAGGTCAGGCCTCTAACTTTCAGCTATGAAGTAACTAAACGAGTTCGAGGAGCAAGTATTGATGGGTCATTTACAAAGGTCTGCAGGGACAGTGGTCCTGTAGTGAACAGAACACGGGTGGGGACAATCGAATGTACTTAACACAAAATTACAGGACTTGTTAATAAAATCTAACAATTCGAAAATAAATGCTTAATTTGCAAAATATCCACCAATTGTCTCAAAATGACTCAGACTTCATTGTTCTTGCATTTTCATACAAATTGCATTCTGTTCCCATTCTTTGTTGTTCGATCCTCTTGTCTCTCTGCTTCCAGACCTGTTCCTGACTAACATCATATACTACTTATGTCGATATAAGTAGCACACACCACAGTCCAGTTTTGAAAGTTCGATTTACTGAGATATTAGCTACTTTAAGGGTTGGACATAAATCTTAGTTGTCCCAGTTTATCAGAAAGGAGAGGAGTCAGTCTGACTAATATTGTCTGAGATATAAGGACTGACAACCATCCATTGTTAAACTGGAACTCTCGGACAGTTAAACCAATAAAGCCAGATTGTTTATGGTCTTCGAGATGAATGTATGAAATATCCACCTTTCAGGTTTCAGAATGCATGTATAACAGTAGACGCCCGAACGTACTTGTACTTATTGATCCAAAGACTTCGTTTGGCTACCGTAATCAGTTTCTCATACCAGTATATCGTCGAAACGTTCGATAAGAAAAGTACATAAGCATCCTAAAAGCTTTCTAACCGTAAACATATCAGTGTTCGCATCGATGCTGGCCACTATCTCCGCGTATATTTTAGTTTTGTTTTAGAAATAACAGTATTTTTGTTGAAGTCATTCTACTTGACGAAGTGTAACCCTTTTATGTTCTAAATTTGATAACGTAAATATACAGTTTGAAGAAAAAAAACTGACAAGTAAAAATGAGGACATCGATTTGTGAATACATCTTTCTTGCTATTTATGAAATCACGCTTCCATTGGAATTCTTGTTTGAAATTTAGAAAGGTTTGTTAGTTAATAGTCTGCGAAAGTCATTTGATGGATAGGAGTTATGAGACAGGAAACCCTTAACCAAGATTGTGTTAGTTGACACTCGTCGGCAAAACGTGCCTATAACTTAGAGGGGGGCGATTGCACGCTGGTGATTTCGGACTGGGATCATTTAGTTAAGCAGTCTTGGACGTTACCACTTGGCATTAAGGACTAGACAAATAACATTATGTGCTACTCATTGATCATTCAAAATGCATAAAAGTTTGCTTGAGAATGACTAGTATTTATCTGTCAAATAACTCTAAAATATTCCAATAATTAGTTACACTTCAGTTCGCTGATCTTAATTAAAATCAATGTGTTCAATCGTATATAGTATTTAAACGTAACTTGTTTAGAAATTAGGTCTAGATAATTCTACTGACCTATATATAAGAATGAACACATTCGACAATCCTTAGCATTTTATACGTGAATTAACGGATAATTCTTAAACTTTCAAGTTTAACTAACAATATTTTAGTCTAAAGCGTTCTCTCAAAATGAAGATCTTTATGATGGCAAATTTAATTTTGATATGACAGAACAACAACTGAGCCTGATATTTAAGGATTAATTCCATATGACTAAAAAACCTCTAGTTTTTGTATTCTTCAATTGTTAAAAGAATGACCTCTAATGATAATTATCCTTGTGTCCGAAACTTTGTGTACAAGTATTCCATTTTACTTAATTAGACAACTGCTTTGTCCTCTAATAGTAGTTTGATTGAAGGTTTAAGTCGATAATTCAGTTTGGCAAACAGCCATTACTCGGCAACAAAAATCGTGCCATTGCATATCACCTATTGACCAGCATTCTTTTCTTTCACCCAAACATTCGGAAGATCGTTCATAGAAATTCACTTTAGAACAGCGATACGAAATTTAAGTTTATGTAGCAAGATGAGCACTTCCCCAAAAGTACCACATTGAATCAGAAATCTTTTCAATTGTGATTACAAACATATTTGATAACTAAATGATCTTGACACAGAGCAATTTAATTTGTCAATAGATAAGTTTTGATTACAGACTGATGTAACCGTTGTATAATGTAAATTCAGTTAGATTTAGGCAACTGTTTAATCGTAGCACTCATACAAGACCTCAAATCTAAGTGAACCTTAGGACTAGTATAATATTTCTCAAACTGAAAAGAAATACGTTGATTTGCGATGTTTCAACTCTATTCATTTTGTTAGAGACAGAAGTTAGGGGTAACAACAAGTGTCTCCTAATCGTCTTTTCCCCATACATGTGTTGTTAATCATATTTCCACCTTTATTGATTCAATTTACAATACACATTGAAAATAAGTTCCTGAGCAATATATTTGACGTTTCATTGTTCATGCGACTCATTATAAACAGATGTAGTAATGATAATTTATTGTTTATTTAGAAAGCGAGGATGCAATTCAGTTCAAATAATCTATGCGATGACTAGAGCATTGAAGGTCACTTTATTTTCACTCAGTATGACAAGGAATTTGTAGAAATACGGGGAGGTAAAAGACTTCGTAATAACGGAAATGTTGTTCACATGGTTCATTTCTATTGATAAGACGGTTATAGGTTAACCGTTTAGAATTTTTGATTGTTGAAGCCAAGTTTTGACCCAATAAAACATTTTACATATTAAGTAATACAATAATCCCCAATATTCTATTATTATCATACCAATTATCTACCAAAACCATTCTCTTCAAACTGTGTTGTAATTTCCCTGTTCAAACGGACTCACTCTTCTCTGATGGATAATTCATTATACTGAATTGAGATTTATTAAGAGTTTGAGTTGACGACACTTAATAACATTTTTGTAGCTCAGATGTGAGCAAAGAAATCCAGACAATGGTTGAAACGCGTGTTACGTATGCCCGACCGCCGACTGCCCCGGCATGTGATGTTCAGTGGTATAGGAGTAGGTTGGAAGAAAGCTAGGGGCAGCCAGACCAAACCATGGCACAAGTCCATGAAGTCACTGACAAGTGGACTGAGCCATGTTGCTAGGTGTAGACTATCTGGTTGGGGACCGCGAGACGATAGCGACCGATGGTTAGAGACCTTGAATGACATGGCTAAAAATCGTTTGCAGGGAGCAGGTGCATCCACTCTTTGTATTCTCCCAAATTCTAATCTTCTGAATTCTTCATGTCCTTTTCTTGTTTCTCTTTCCAAATTTATCTCACTGGATTATACTCCTTGAATAACACCTTTAAACTCTGATCTTTTGGATTATTGCTTATACTTTTACTACCTCTACCACTACAGGATTTGAATCAACAACTACATCTCTGTGCTAATGTGATATGGCAACTCGAACTGATGTACGTACTTAAGAAGTTGTACGTTGTTTTTGGCTGACTGACTGGTATTCTACAAAGGACTATTGTTCGCATTTTCTATTTCAATAAACAATATACATAGAATTCACCAGTTAAGTACAAACAAACAAACATCTTTTAATAAAACAAAAAATGAAGTAGAAATAAAAGTAACAGAGTGAGAAATCCTTTTATTTACATAAATCTATTGACTTTTTAATGATTTACTATTCACTTTTAATGTTTTTAAATATTTCTCATTTAGGCTATTTACACTATTGTTAATAAGCAAATCATTTATCACAAAAATACCTAAGAGAATAGTAATATTCTCCAGAAGTACACGTATTTCTAACCAAAATTCACATCCTTTAATATGCCAATAATTAAAATTACAATCACGAATGAAAGATAATATTAAAAATGAAAACCCAATAAGATAATCAGCAAATTGGAATAAATAATTTTTATAAGAAAATGTATTATTTAATAGAAAGTGGTCATGTATTATTACAGGAATTGAGTAGATGATACCAGCTGTTAACAAACATATGCCTAAAATTAGACTTAATAATTTAGATATATAATTGTCCATTGATAGAATTAATGTTGAATTAATTTCTGTCAATTGAATATCTCTATCTAGTTGGAATATTTCTACAGGAATACAGAATATACTTAATAAACATAATGATACAGACATTATAGTTAAGCCGAAAGCATAAACACTTGTAGTAGGCTTGATTTTGTGTAATTGATCAACCTGGTTATCGTTATTGTGTGAATCTGTCTGTTTTCGTTTATCATTATAACCATTCACTCCAAGCAGTCGAAAATATACACCAATAGTAGTCAAACACCTTAAACTAATACGTGCACGGATACACTTTGAATACCCTAAACGTTTTTCTAAACAAAACACATATGTTATGTACAACTGACTTAAGAGGATTATGGTTAATGATAAACGTGTCAAGAAACGACTTGTTATTCCAGTTGATGCGATCAAACCAGAGCCAATCTATGAAATACAAGGAGAAAGATATATGGAGAGGTATCACTTTAATCAATGAGATATTCTGTAATTATCTTAAATGATACAAAATTACACTAATTCATATTACAAATCATGAGTAATTAATGAAAGTTGAAAATCACAAAGTTTTCACGAGTA